TATAACTTTAATTTTGAGTAATTTTTTTATTTTTATTTTTTTTAAGTATCAGAATTTAATTTCATTGTAAGATGAGATATACCACGTCATTTGTATGATTAAATAAAAAAATTTAACAAATTAATTTATAAATTTATTTTCTAGTATTTTTTCTTTTTTAAGAATAGATTAATTTCATTGTAAGGTGAATTTTCAATAAGCCAACAAACCAATTACATACATGCCCAATCACCAACCAATTATTGAATGCCAGGAGAATGTGTTTGGGTTCATCACTTGTTTTTGCCATAGGTTGCAAGATCGCTGACACTTAAAATTTTTTGATCTTTACTGTGTAATATCTTAAGTGATAACTTAAACGTAGGTTACTAACACGTTAATTTTAAAAATTCGCTTACCGGTATGTGATAAGCAATGAATAGCTACAAAACCTGTAACTAAATTTAACATTCAAACTTTACAATTATTTTAATTAATTAATTAATTTATTTTTAAAGTTAAAACAAGTATATAGCCGTTACTCATGATGTTGAAATTCTAACTCTCAAACTAATATTCAAAGAGAATAGATCATTTCATTAGAGTAGAGACTTTTAATTTGATCTTCTATTTAGTTACTCATATGCATAAAAAATTATATATATGACAAAATATATATATATATATATATATATATATATATATATATATATGTTGATCGCAATATAAGTATATATAAATATATCTAAAACTAAAAGTACATAAAAGTTACATTGATTTAGGTCTGCTGCACCTCAAGCATAGTCCAACTATAATGATGATATTTGGGTTGAAATTTGTGTGACCAAATCAGTCTTAATTGTTGCCCATAAAAGATTGGTTGATATGTACTCAACTTGTTTGTGATTGATTTGGAATATGTTTCAAATGGAAACAAATGAATGGAGCGTGCGTTTTTAAAAATGCATACACCAAAACATACTATATTCAATTATTGGCTCTCCAAATCGTACGTGACTGACCCCACACGCGCGCGAATTTATATATATATATATATATATATATATATATATATAAATTGAGTAGTGAACCCCGATACTAACTTTAATGATAGAAGCTTGAAAAAGCTTTCAAGGATGGAAAAATTCTATGATTTTCAACCATAGCCTTTCAATTAATTAAATAGATAGATTTGTACCCCACTCCTTAATGATATGGTTGGTAATTTAATTTGTTGGTTCCTTTTGATTTTTCGTGCATTTTCAAAATTGAATGGACAGCATGTGAAGCATTCTTGTGATCCACGTGGTACGACCATATATATATATATATATATATATACACACACTTACGCGCCTAAAGTTCACATCAAAATCTCCAGCCTTTCTCTTAATTATGTAAGTCATCTTTATGAGGGAAAAGAGCTATTCTCTTAGCTTTATAAATTCTCCATTATTGTACGTATTATTGGTCACATTCTCCATTTTCTGTGCATCACTTTATACCCTTGACCAGAAAAAGCATGTAAGCACTCTATATGTACATACACAATATACTTAATTACTTGTGTAGTTTTGCAGGTGTAGCACAGTAAATTTTAAAGTGTTAGATTTTAACTATTTGCATTTACTAACCTAACAATGTGTTAAATTTTGAGAACTATTGAAGCCACCTATTTAAAAAAAAAAAAAAAAAAATTTCTTTTATAACATAATAACTAAATCAAATAAAGTTTTTGAACAAATTTCTAAAAGTAAAAAAACATTTTATGTTTGACAAACTAATCAGGTCCCTCTCTTTCTATGAATTGACAAATAAATGATTTATAGTAGAATTGCGTTTTTATGTCTGGCTTAGGCCTTTTGGGCCTACTTTTATTATGGGCTAATTAATCCCTTCTGGATTCTGGCCTAATGGCCCACCATTGAAATACTTAACTTATACCGCACAAGAATATACAATTGTTTGAATTTTCAGGGGGAAATAAAATGAAGAACATAATATATATATACACCAAACATCCTTAACAGATTTAAACAACTGTATATTTTATCATTTTTGTTAAAATATACCATGACTTTCATATTTAAACACTATTAATTAGAGATTCCTAATAGTATTTTGTGCAATTTGCCCAACAACAATATATATATATAAATAGGATGTTTGGTGTCTAGCTAGGCTGCTTAACTATGGACATTGTCTCTTGACTCTATTGGAACACCTACATTTAATTAATGTTTTATAATGTTGGTCGGCGAACTTTATATTTGAACTTAGACACAAATGACTAGGTACTTACTGTTGTACCTAAATACAACTTTGAGATTTGAAAAATGATACTTTATCATGCATGAAAATTCCATATATTTTTCATCATGTACATGATAAAAAAAGTCTTTTCGTGGTCCAAATTGGTAAAGGAAGTTTGCCAGATTTAAGTACGTACCAACAAATTTTAGAGATATATACATGTATGTATATACATGACATTCATAACTAATTAACTGATGTTGATAACTCCTAGCTTGATTCCTTTTAAATTGTCATGCGTGTCAGTAAAAGTATCATCACTATATTATGTACGGACTATATATCCATGATAATCAATTGGTAAAGGGCATTTGCCAGATTTAAGTACGTATCAACAAATTTTAGAGATGTATACATGTATGTATGTGTGTGTGTATATGTATATATATGGCATTCATAACTAATTAACTGATATATGTTGATAACTCCTTGACTCCTTTTAAATTGTCATTGAAGTCAATAAAGTTATCATCACTATATTATATACGGAGTATATATCCGTGATCACAAATTTCAATAGGAGAATGCTTGCATCAGGTTTAGTATCAAGGTGATTCTCTTTCTGTTCCTATATATATGGGTCCGTGCAGCATTTCCACGATATCGTTATGATCAATTAATGGGACTTGGCCGGAAAGTGTTCTTGCCTCTATCATTAGCTCGGGTAGTCCCAGTTTCTGGTGTTTTAGTCACCTTTCAATGGCTCCCTTAATTATGTGCGAGGAATTTCCCTATTGAGTAATGGGAAACGGGCTACTCCCCGACGAGGTGACCTAATAAAAGTATTTTAACATGTATTAAAATTTTGGGTAATTTACACTAACACTCCTTCAGATTTACAATAAAGACAAATAGATACAAATTAGGGAGAGTGTGATCCAATTGTCCCCTCATGTTTACAAACTTGAACAACAATACCTCAACCATGATAAGAATACCTAATTGCCTTTTAACTTCTGAATTGACCCATTTAAATTATTAAAGTACAATATTAATCTTTATAGGTCATTTTATTTGACCAAAATGACCCTAAGCAAAAAAAAAATTCAAACTCCATCGCCGTGGCCGCCAATGCCACATGCATACAGACAAGGGCGAACCCAGGAATTTTTAATTGGTGGGGCCAAACTATAAATGTAAAATTAAAATTTTAAAATAACATAAAATCATTGTAAGAAATTTTTTTTTTTTTTTTGCAACTTTAATGTATATTGTTAAAACGTGTCTATAAACAATATTCAATAAAATTGAAGAAAAAAGTTGTCGATTGAATCATTATTGTTGTCAAGTGAATAAATTTTTTTTTTTTCTTTCTAATTCATAACAAATAATATTTATGTATGTGTGTGAATATATGTGTGCGTAAATATAGTATGTTGTTATAAGGATTACCATAATAATTAATAATTTTTTTTTATTACTAAATTTGATCTTTTATAGCAAGAGGTTTATTGGAATTTGAAGGACTTATAAGTAATTTTATTATTAAACTATATTTAATAACAGGAACCATTTAATTTTTTTATTAAAAAAAAAAATTAGAGAGATCAACTTTAATTGTTATATAGAAAACAACTATTAGTATCTATGATTTAGTACCATAAATAGAGTGTTACAAAAAATTTGAGGGGGCCAACTTTAATTTTTATATAAAACATTACCATAATTAATTTTAATTAAATACTATAATAAGGTTTTGTAAAAAAAAAAAAAAAAAAAATTGCTAGGGCCATGGTGGAGTTTTTATTTATTTATTTATTGTCAAGGGTCATTTTGGTCAAATCAAAAGACTTGTAAAAGGTTAATATTGTACTTTTATGATTTAAATGGGTCACTTCAGAAGTCAAAGGGTAATGACGTACTCTTATCATGGTTAGGGGTGTTGTTCAAGTTTGCAAACTTGAGGGGGCAATTGGATCATACTCTCTTTAAATTGTATTTACTTATCTTTATTGCAAATCTGAAAGGGTGTGAGTACAAATTACCCTAAAATTTTTAAGATAAAGGAAAAGGAGGACTGCAGATAATAAAAATGCATTCCCTTACTCTCTCACACACATTGCAACTCTCATTGCGTTAATAGAAGAAGAAAATAAGTTTTCCTCTCCCACTGTAAATATACATCTACACATATCTATATATTTGTGTGTATATATTTTTTCTATGTGTTGAAACTTCTCTTAAACTAAGATCATCGTTAAAATCGTGAGATCGAATTTAAAATCAAATAAAGTTATATTCTCTCCATCTTTCTCTCTCTAGATTTCATTGTCCTTGATTGATTTATAATTTGAACCAATCAATGGTGTCGTCTTCATCTCAAGGAGGAAGAAGTTAATCATTCTACTACAAGAAGCATTTGAGTCGTCTGTACACTTCCACTCGTCTTAGTTTCGGCAATGTCGTTTTAGGGTTTGGACAATAAGTTCAGCTCCAAATCCATGAAGCCTAATCGGAATCGGACCGATTCCATGTAGTGGGAGCTCGTACGCTAGCGGCTTTTTCGTCGTGGTCAGATTTTATTGGTGAGCCTGTTGATACTTTGAAATGGGAGGTAGTTTTTTGGATTGGGTTTAAGCGTGTTCAGTTTTTATTTCCTATAGTCATCTTTTTCTTTTATATTAGTAGTTTAACACATATTCAAGTTTTATTGGGCCACCTCATCGTAAGAAGAAAGTTCCTTCTTATGCGGCCTAAGTCAAGCATTGTTCATTTCGATATATTCATTACAGGAAAAAAAATTCAATATATTCTATGCATATATTTCACTTAGATATCAATAGCGGTCCCAAATTCAGGTCGATTATATTTCACTTCTTCCCCAGAAAAAGATGATCAAACAATTCCCAATATATATATATATATGATGACAACTTCCATAGTATGATGATTTTTTACATTTAAAAAAAAAAAAAAAACTTCCAAAGTATGAATTAAAATTAGCAATGTAATCTGTCAATCCAAAGGGATAACTAACATTAACAATAACAAATGATAAATTTTTTTTTTTGGGTAAATGATAACAAATGATAATATTGGTAATCCTAATAAAACATTATTCAACACTTCTTGTAAAAAATCTATAAAAAAACAAAAAATAAATAAAAATCCTCCACCTTAATTATTTGTACAAGCAAAGCAAGATAGCATCAAAATAAAAATATCAGAACAAAGATGAAGAAAAACAAGAATACAACAATAATCTCACTTTTTGTTTACTGAATGAAGGGCTTAAAAGTGCTCACCACCTTCTTAAAACCAGTCACCAACTTCTTAATCCGACCAACACTTGAAGTATACGAAACAATTCCATCGTTGCCGGCTAGGACTCTGTACTTGTCCTTCCTGGTGAAATTGGTGCACTCAAATCCTAGTGTAGCAGCTAAGATCCTCTGCACATAGTTGGCAACATCATGTGGGCTCTTACCGGACGAGCAAGTGGCTTCATGAGGCAACTGGTTCAAGAATGTGACCTCATAGACTGGTCGAGGGTTCATGAAGAAGAATATAGGGTCCAAACCTTTCCAACCCCTAGCTGTGGTTGCATGAAAAAACCCTACCCTGTAGTTCATTGCGACCGGGACAATCCTATCTGTTAATTCTGCAAAAAGTGCACTAAACCTCAACAGAAATGGTTCTCTGCATGTTGTCCCCTCTGGACACACTACTAGGTCACCATTTGACAATTCGCTCTTGATCTTATCTGCATCAACATGTCTAATTCTTGTTAATCGGACGGTAGGGATGGGTGATAAAATCTCTGATAGGCGCGAAATGGAGTATGTGACTGCTGGGATTTTTCGTTGCAGGACGGAGGAGAGGACAACGGGGTCCATTAGGGTTCGGTGAGTGCACACGAAGAGCACGCCGGAACCGGAAGTCGGTGGAGGCGGCTTTCCTTTCACGATGACCTTGCCACCAAATAACCGGGAAAGTTTGGGGACAGCCCACATTGGTAGCATTACACCAATTGCAATGCGAATTATGGCGAGAGTGATTCCAAATGGGATCCATAAGAGTATTAGGATGGCTGTTGATGGTGTGGGCCGCTTCACGAGCCGGCCGTCATGGAAGATCACCGGCAGTGGGCGGACGAGCTGGCGGTCATGCTTTTGGTTGTTGATGAATGGTGGCTGAGATTGTTCCTGTATAACAAGCATGTTTTATCATATGGGTTAGTATTTACGCGTGCATGAATTGTGCAAGAAGAGTTAATCTATGATGTATCTGTAAAGGACTAAAAAGTTGGCTATGCAGAGCTAACCTTGTGATAAATTATATATATATATATATATATATATGTATATACCATTACATTAGACTTTTGCCATTGTAAAATTTGAAGAGGATTAATATACGTGGTCTTATATTAAAATTTAAAAATATAAGATACAAAAAAAAATGAGAAAGTTATTTTTAATTTTGAACGCGAAAAGTCGAAAAGTCATAACTACTTGTGAAGTAATCCTACGGATGTACCAGAACTTGCCCTTAATATATATATATATTATATATATATATATATTGAAAACACTAAATTAAATTAAGAAATAGTGCTGTATTACAAGATTGACAATTGTGAGACTGGACATAATCCCAAAAACAATGCAGCTAATTAAATAAACTAAGAACTTGACTAACTTTAAATAGTTAATTAGTCAACTTCAAACATGGACAGTACTTGAATTGTTCAAAGTTAGTTACTGTAGACTGAAGTTATGTAAAACATTTCATATCAATTTTTCTTTTGATTTTCTTCAAGAACATAATTAGTAGTAGTTACCTTGCATAGTGATAAGAAAGAAGAACCAGTTTGAGGGCTGCATAACCCTAAACTAGGCTGTTCATCCCCAAAAAGCTCAGCAACACGGTGCGAAATCGAACCAATATCACCCTTAATGAAACCTGTGGCGAAACCAAAACGGTTCACTACAAGTTCACTCCCAATGACTTCATCAGCTCGCAAATGCTCCTTCACGAACCTCTCCACCATAACCCTAGGTGTCTTGGTCACCACAACTCTCTTGTCACATGAACTAAACACCCTCCAAGCCTCCATATCAATATCATCCATGTAAAACTTTGGCAAAACAGCTCTTGCCACCGATTCGATCTCCGACACTCTTAGCCCCGCGGTGGCAACAAAGATGGTTAGCTTGAGCCCACAGTCCCCCATCCCACATGCATCGAGCAAGCGAGTCACCGGCCATAACATTAACAACAGAGCGAACCGAATTATGCCCGAAGCTTCAAATGCCACTAACATATAGTAGGAGAAGGGATCTGAGTCCTTGACAAGAGTCCCTTCGAGCTCCGAAACAATGGACTCCATCACTAGGGTTTCTTTCTCTAATTTTCTCGGGAAAGTTGGAAATGAAAATTTTGAGTTCTTGGTTATGGATGACAACTATTACTAGGGATATAAGAGTTGTAGGGTTAAGGTAGATTGACTGTTCTCTAATGCAAGAATGAGGCTGTTTATCAACTTACAACCACCTCATTGCATGTTGCTATATTTATATTGCATAGTTTCTCTCACTTCTCTCTCTCTATGTTTTCTTTAGGTGGATGTATCTACATTATAAATGGAATGATTTGTACGCCACGTTAACATGCACAGATTGATTACTTAACCCCAACAACTTTGTCAAGGTGTATTTTAGATTTTTTTACGGGTCTACGTGTACGTCTACCATGACCATATAATTAGGTTACTTTCTAAGATAATATGAGCCGTATTTAATAATTATTATTCATAAAGAATATTACAAATTAAAGTAGTGATAGCAATCAACTCCACGTTTTTTAGAGGATTTTGTTAAGAAGTTTCAATCTATACTGTATACATATATATATATATAAAGCTACAATCTGTATTTTTATGGGTTTATTGTCTTATTTTGACACAGTCTACTCCCACATTTTTGATTCACTACTGCTGTAGTCAACTTCTCTCATTGGGTTGGGCCTTTGTACCATTTTAGGCCTTTTTTTCCCTGTGTTTTGTGGGCCTTATAGGTCCTTGTCCACTGTTTTCCTTGTTGGTCATGGGGTATTGCCCCCATGTTCTTTGCACAGTTTTTTTTTTTTTTGTTTTTTTGTTTTTTTTTTTTTTTTTGTAGGACTTATAGGTTCTTGTCCACTGTTGGCCAGTAGGGTATGCCCTATTTTCTTTGTACAGTTTTATTCCGGTTTGGTGAGATCGAGTAATGATGGAGAATTCGAAAGTAGGACAAATCTGATTTAGTTGACGTGCAAAGGTTGATGCAAGTGGGAGGTGTTCGCTCTACCACTCACCGACTCTAAATGATTTTCCTTGTAATTAAGTTTCTTTTTTAATTTTCAAGATTTAGAGCTTACAAGTCACTCTATGTTCCATTTGAATGGCAAATAATGCGATATATAAAAGCTGTAATTTGCTGAACCTGCTCAATTAACTTCCTAAGATTGAAAAAGTAGGTTTGGTTAGAAATTCATGCATTTTTTTTCCATAAATATGGAGCTATAGGTGGTGCCCAACCTTGGAAGAAGAATTGCAAGTAGGTTAGAAATTTAGTTACCTTGTCAGGTTTATATGGAGCTATAGGTGGTGCCCAACCTTTTTGGTCAACACTGCTTTCTTTTTGAACAAAAATTTCTGGGTTGATTCATCCAATTCATATCGAATGTTTTTTCTCCAAGGTAGGTAAGGTTGGTTTAGAAAGGACAAACATTGAATATAAAACAATTTTGTTTATAATATATACTAGTCCATCGTGTTCTTATATATACATATACACACACAGACACACTTCCTAATTATTAATTACATGCCTTGATGGCTCCAATTCGATATCTAGAATGGTACAATTGTTGACATTGCATTCGTTGATGGCTATAGATAATTGTATGAGGGAACGATTTTGAACGATAATAAGAACACATAGTGAGGTGTTATAAAAAAATTGAGTGTTGCATTTTTAAAATTTTAATAAAAATTATAGACAGTTTTGTAAATAATAATAGGTCTGTCCCTGATAATATTGTATTGAGAGTGGGGATGAAAATTTAAGTCTTCGTATCTATCTCTATATACTAATAATAAAAGTGTAAGCAATTTTGATTGTCAATTATAATTTTAAGTTTTTAATTGTTAACAAATTAAAGAACCAATAAGCATTTATTATATTTAACATACCAAGATACATCAGTTATAAATTATAATATCTAGATATTAGAGTTGTATTCATTTGGTACCAAATATGATTTAAAACAAAATATTTAACAAATAAATGAACCAACAAGTGTGTCATTATATTTAGCATACCGTAGCAACATATATAGAATGTTTCATTTTTTTTTTTTTTTTTTTTTATGTGTATTGGACTCGAGCAATAATTTATTCATGATGAGTCTAGAGCGGGAAAAACCACATTATTGGAGTAATCAAGGTGGCGTTAATTTAGGTATAATGTTGAACCTTAATTTTAATGTATTTGTATTTTTTTTTTTCCATACAAATTTTCTGTTAAAATAACTTAAATTGTCATGTTTTCACAATAATTTTCTAGTACAACAATTAGAGATTTAATAGCATCATGCATTGTTTTTCTTCCCGGTTGGATTGTTAATTGAAACAAAAATGTTCTTACAATTAAAATCTTGTTATACAATATGGGTCCACCACCCATTATTTTACGATATGTGTATTGATGCAATTGATATTATGATGCGCACTTCATGCAATTGGTATGCTGATGTATATACAAGCATTTGATTGGTGGAGTGATACTTAACCACCTGATTGGAGCAAGATGAAGGCGCCGAAATCAAATGAGTATAAGCAATTGAGGCGGTGAGTTCCCAGGGTTGTGATTGGTGTAAATGCCGAAGGACCGTGTGACTAGTTTTAGTAATGCATATATATATTATGTTTGACTTATTATCTGTAAGCAGGTAGTTGGTCTGATGACATGTGAACTACTAATTGATTGAGTGATGTAATTGATGAGTGTAATGCGGCAATGTATTTATAAATATGTGTGGTGGAGTATTGTATTGGGTATATCTTTTAGTGAATAAAATTACCTTCGTTCTTATTGTCACTTTGGGTATGTCTCATTATATATTTTATATATATTTTTATTTTTATATTCATAAGAAATCTTAATTTGTGTGATTGATAACTTTTGTTGACTTACTTTGTATGAATACAAACATACATTTATACTTTCAAAAAATTGTCAGAATGTAACATAGAAATGCATAAATGGATTGGATTTTGTTTTTAATTTGTTTCTTTATTTTTAGTTAATTAATTTAAATAATCATTATATTACTATAATATTTTGATAATTTTTTTTTTCTTTTTTTTTTCATGACTAAGTAATACAATGATAGAATTAGTACAAAATCATTATGTAATAAGTTCTAATGCATTATTTATTTACTACTATAAATTTTGATAACACGGTCTCTTTTCTTAGTACGTATATGTGTATATATAAATATGAATCAGTACTTTTAATTTTATGATTATCTATTATTATTTTCGGAAAGGTCAAGGATAATGTATACTTGAATAGTATAAAAGGTGGTGCCAAAGTAAATTGGGCCGAGCCCAAGAAAAAAAAATGAAGAAGACCTAAGGCCACACTACAAGCCCAAGGCAAAAACATCCCGAAGGCAAAGCCTGAAGCCCAACACCTCAAGACCCTTACAATTTAAAGCATAAGACCGTTACACCTAACAACTATTCCATGAATGGTCTATGTTGTATTGTTGTTCCCAATGGAGGAAGATTCAACCGAAGAAATGAACGAGGAAATTCGGAGGAGAAGGTATTGGGTGTGCCGGCGTAGTATCCACCACTTGGTTTATTTGAGTCATACGTATTGTGTATGTACAAGTACGTGTTGTGTATGTATAGTTCGAATAAGCCGATACACTGATGCACCGAATATCTATTTCATTGGAAGACAATACTCTTAGTACCGAGAGTGTTACGATGGGAGCAAGTCATAATTTGAACCAACAACCAAATTTGAGAGTACAAGCTTTCTCAACTCTTTTTATTTTTAATCACCGATTGAAGCTTTTTTATTTATTTTTTTCTTTAACAATTGAACGTATATTTTTTCAGATATGAACAAATCTGAGCCTCTAAACGGAGCAAATCTGTTTCGAAGTTGTTGTTGTTGTTGTTGTTGTTTATTATCTACTGAAGCCTTCTATGTTTTGAAGTTGTTTAAAACCTTAAATCTAATCCTATAGTGATATTTATAAAAATTGTACAATTGATATATGTTGTAAAAATAAAAAGGTAAATATTGTAATATATGTATTAAACCAGTAAAACCCATAATTTATGAGAAATAATATGGGGTGTTTAGCATATATATCCACATAAATGCTTTTATAGAATCGGTCATTCAATTTTTAATTTATATATATATATCTATATAGATACTGTAACTTTTTTTAATTATTTTTTGTTACAGTTCCATGTTATATATATATATATATATATATATATATATATATATATATAGATACTGTAACTTTTTTACTTATTTTTTGTTACAGTTCCATGTTCTTTTAGTAACTGGTCTTTATTTGCTGGTTTAATTTTATGTTTTGTTTCTCTAATTGATTGTTTTCATAAGTTTAACACAGTAGGTACCATTAGGTTTAGAAGTTACACGATTTGTTAAAAGTTCTCATGGTGTGTTGAGTTGTTACATGGAAACTACACAGTCAATTTCATATTTAGTGATATGAAAAATGAGTCCATCTCGTCTTTTCAAAGCATTATTTGTTCCAAGGCTAGCAAATATTGTTGACTGAAAAAAATCACATAATTGAATTAGAGATAACATATTTAATGGTGTAACTGCACTGAGATGAAGTTTAATGGTGTGACAAATGATGTAGCTACAGTCAGAATCGACTTCACCAAGCAAATAAGTTACGTGATTCAAATGTTGATGCAATATGAAATGCTAACCATGGACTAAATTTATTGTTATTTTATCAAGGACATGTAATTGATTTATTTTTTAGCTAAACTTTCTCACTATTTGACGTATATAAGATCAAACATGTAAGGTGTAGGTGCAAAATTTCTCTCTATTAAAAGAAATAAAAAGAAAAATACAACTCACTTAAAATAAGCTATTATAATACTTAGAGACAAGTGTATATTGCTCGATGCCTTTATTGGAAATCTAGGCCTCTATTTATATTAAACAAGGTGGTGGAATTATGGTCGAACTCGCCTTGCTTGTCTTCCAATTCATACCATATACAACATTCTTTACAATTAGAATTCTTTCCTTTCTACAATTCTTTCCATGCAAAACTTTCCTTGCACAGAACTTGCCTTCTTT